CTTTATGCCATCCACTGTTGCCTCCTTTCCTAAGGTCTATTTTCTCAGCCTTCTCTGGGGATGAATAGGAAGTCATTCCCAACCCCTCTTAATGCCCTCTGTTAATTATTCTCTATTTGTCCTATACCTAGCTTGTTTGTACACATTGTTGTCTCCTCCATTAGACTGTAAATTTCTTGAGGACAGGGACTATCTTGCCTTTTATGGTTGTCATTGCATCCCCAGCACTTGGCACAGTGCCTGGCTCATGAAAGGGCTTAATAAATGGTTATTCATTGATTGCTTGATTGTTTCTTATGAACAGAATGACCCCACCCCCAACCCCAGAGCTTTCTAGGGAAAGGATTGATAATAATTACTCCCCCTTATTCTATCTCTCCCCAGCTCCTTTCTGCCTCAGAACATCGACTCAAACCCCTAATTTGATCTTCTCTCCAAATGAGGGTGTGTGTATATGTGTGGGAGGGACAAAAACACCTAGATTTCCCTAACCTTCACAGATCAATAAGATATTCTTAGCCTGAGTAAAGCAGAAAAACAACTTGGAAAGGTGGGGTATGTGGGAGAAGGGAGAGTGTTTCTCCCTTCACTCAGAGTTAAGAAGAGCTGAATAAAAGTATTTCTGTGCAATGCGGAAGACTTAGTTAAGGTTAAGTCATGAGAAATATAGTGGATCTGGGGAGCACAGTTTATAGATCGAGAGTTGGAAGGAACCTCAGAGGCCACGTAGTCCAAACCTTTCATTTTACAGATTAAGAAACTGAGGCCTATGGAGGTTAAGTCTTCTGACCTCTTCTAGCAGTGCTCCAGAGCTGGGATCAGAAATGGCAAATTCTGGAGGTAACTCAGGTTTTGGTGCAGGGGAAGGGCAAGAAGGCAAAGGATCTAAGGGTGGAGGACCATGGGTTGACAGTCAGAATGATAAGCTGTCAGAGCTGGAAGGGACCCCAGAGGCCACCTACCTCAACCCTAAGCTGAACAGAGATTGTTCTGCAACATCCCTGAAAAGTGGTTATCCGGCCTTTTTGGTGAGGGGGAGCCACCTACCTCACTGTGCAGCTCCAGTTTTGAATAGCCCTCATTGTTAGAGCTTGTCTTTACATCGAACCTAAATGCTTCCCTTTACGACTTCCACCCACTGCTCCTTTTACAGGGAAACAGATTTAGATAGAAGGAAAATTAGGGCTCATCCAGTCCAATCCTCTTATCTTACAGATGAGGAAATGGAGGCACAGAGATTAAGTGGTCCAAAGTCACACAGATAGCATGCAGTAGGGTTGGGATTCCAACCCAAAGCCCTTACCTTCATAGAATCAAAGAATTTCAGAGTTACAAGGGAATTCTATAGCCTTCTACTCTGCTGCTGCTGTTCAGTTCACCTACTCTTGGTGACTCCATTTGGGGTTTTCTTGGCAGAGATACTGGAGTAGTTTGCCATTTCCTTCTCCAGCTCATTTTACAGATGAGGAAACTGAAGCAAACAGGGTGAAGTGGCTTACCCAGGGTCACACAACTTTTACGTCCCAGATTTGAACTCAGAATGATGAGTCTTCTCGATTCCAAGCCCAGTGCTTTGTGTACTATGTCACCCCCTAGCGGCCCCAGCTTCTAATCTGACCCATACATAAAAGGAGTCCACACTTGAAAGATTCTTGCCAAGTATTCATCTAACCTCAGCTAAAAAACTGCCAAGGAAGGGGAACCCAGCACCTCCCAAGGCGGCCCATTTTGATGCTGGCTACGAAGTTATTCTGGACATCCAGTCTAAGCTGGTCTCTTTGAGATTTCTACCCAACGCTCACACTTCTGACCTTTGGGGCCGAAGAGAACCAGTTCCTTCAAGGACTTTTGCCATCCTCCTTATTCCCCTTCTAAGCCAACACTCTTTCTACTTATGCCATGTTGGCTCCCTCTGGTGGCCAAACAGAGCAAGTCCACTCTATCTTCCACGACCAGCTCTTGAGTCTCCTCTGAGCCTTCTGTAGGCTAAAGAACCCAATTTTTTCCAAACAGTCTTCCCACGGCATGATCTTGAGGCCTTTCACCATTGTTTCTGTCCTCCTCTTCTTGATATTCTCCAGCTTACTGAAGACTTTCTAAAATATAGGACCCACTAAAATAGGCCAGCAACCGAATAGAAAAGGTCTTTTAAATGAAAGCAGGATGAGGGATGAGGAAAGCTCTTTCATAATTGTGGTTTGGGGGAAGAATTTCTTTTTTTTAAAAAAATATTTATATCTTACGTGTTATACGACTTTCAGCTCATAACATATCCATCCTCCTCGAGGGAGGAATTCTTTTCTCTAGCTGTCCTCCACACCTGAAATGCTCGTCCTTCTCCTCTCTGACTACTGACCTCCCTGGCTTTCTTCAAGCCCCAGCTAAAATCTCACCTTCTAGGAGAAGCTTTCCCAAACCCTCTTAATTCCTGTGCCTTCCCTCTTGTGATTATTTCCTGTTTCTCCTGCATATAGCTTGCTTTGTATATATTTGTTTGCATGTCGTCTCTCCCATTAGATTGTAAACTCCTTGAGGGCAGGGATAAGTCTTTTGCCTCTTTTTGTATCCCTAGTACTTAGCATTGTGACCGGTACATAGTAGGCATTCAATAAATGTTTACTGATTGATTGAAGAAGAAAAAAGAAAGAGGAAAAAAAAGTAGTGCAGCAGAATTAGCGAACACATCAGTAAGTCCCAATAGTATAGTCAGTATTCCACATCCATAGTTTCTGAGGTCTTCAAAGAGAGGAGAAAAGTACAGCCTCTTATCTCTTTCAGGGGCTATGTGAACTTAGAGATAGATAATTATATATCCATATAATTAGAGCACTATAATTACAGAGTATTTTTATTCTTTTCATTTGCATTATTGTAGCCATTGCATTTGTTGTTTTCCTGATTCTGCTTTTTTCGTTTTGCATTGGTTCACATAACTCTTTCCACGCTTCTCTGTATTATTCATATTTATTCTTTCTTCTGGCTCAGTGATACTCGGTCACATTCATGGACCACATTTTGTTTAGTTCTCATTCAACCAACGGGTTTCTACTTTGTTTCTGGTTCTTTGCTACTGAAAAAAATGTAGCCATGAATGTTTTTGTATGTAATTTTCTATCTTTGATCTCTTTGTCCTGACAGAGGGACTTCTGAGTCAATGGGTAGGGATATTTTAGACGCTTTTCTAGCAAATTCCAAAATAATTTCCCGAATGTTTGGACTGATTCACAGCTTAACCAACACCCCCTCCAGCTCTGACTATTCCCGAATTTTGTGATTATTGCTAATCTGATAGATATAAGGTGAAAGTTGTTTTGATTTGTAATATTATTATTATATGCTGGCTAGCAGTCTGCAATTCTTTTGAGAACTGTTTGTTCATAACATCTGACCATTTATCCATTGAGGAATGGCTCTAGGTTTTGTCTACTACTTTTCCAGGTGTTTTAGGTAGCAGCTCTTCATAAGAGCTAGATGATGCAAAGATGTTTTCCCCATTGACTGCTTCGCTTCTTATTCTGGTTGCACTGATTTTGTGCATGTAAAAGTTTTAAAATTTGATGTAACTGAGGTTATCTTTTGCGATAATCTCTACCCCTTGGTTGGTTAAGAATTCTTAGGAAGAGAATTCATAACCAAACAAGAGCTAGCTGAGATCATAGAGGGGAAAATCAACAGTTTTGATTACATAAAATTAAAATGCTTTTACAGGAATAAAATTAATGCAAATATGAGAGAGGAGAAAGTATAAGGAGTGAAATTTTTTTATATCAAATATCAGTGATAAAAATCTGATATCCAAGGTATATGTGGATTTAACACAAAATTTTTAACCCTGAGAGCCATTACTTAGTGGATAAAAGATTAAAAGGCAGGAACAGTTTTCAAAAGAAGAATTGTGAAGTATAAAGGAGTATTTGAAGACCTGTTCCAAGTCACTAATAGTAAGAGAAATGCAAATAAAACAACTTTTTTTTTTTGGTGGCAAGTGGGGGTTAAGTGACTTGCCCAGGGTCACACAGCTAGTAAGTGTCAAGTGTCTGAGGCCAGATTTGTCCTCAGGTCCTCCTGACTCCAAGGCTGGAGCTCTATCCACTGTGCCACCTAGATGCCCCAAAATAAAACAACTTTGATGTTTCTCCTCATGCCCTGCAATTTGGCAGAGATGATCTCCTCCCCTCACCCCTCCATGAAAATGAGAAAAAGTTCAATGTTGGAAGTGGTGTTGAAGATAGGCAAACTAGTGCCTTGTTGGTGGAAGGTTGGGATAATGCAAGAAAGTAACCAAATGGTTCATACCTTTTTGGTGTTGTGATCCCACTTCTTAAGGAAGTCAAAGAAAAAGGTCTAATATACATATTAAAATCTTCATGGGAGCATTCTCTGTGGTAGCAAACAACTGGAAACAAAGTGGGTGCCTACTGATTGAGGGAATAACTAAAAAATTATGTTATATGAGTATAATGAAATATTATTATGTAATAAGAAATAATGAATATGAAGGATTCAGATGTGGAAGGAAAACAATGTGCTTTGCAGATTTAGCTAAAATCTGTTAGAGATATATTTTATTAATGTGCAAGATGTTAGCTTGGAGAAAAGCTCTAAGACCTTTCCTCTTGAAAATTGGGAAAGCCTTTCCCTCAAGTGATAGACAATTTTATGATATTTTATGAAATGAGAGATGAAGGAACCTCAGCAGCAATGAAATAACCAAAGTACATGGTTTTTATTTATGATGTTTTTAATTATTTCTTAGAAGGAACAGTAGTAATACAGGCACCCCCTTGAGAAAGACCTGTCTTCTAGGAAAACAAAGATACTCCCTGTTCTAGCTAAGTCATCTAGTAAAATTGAGGCTATGCCCTCAATTGATTTACTAATCCTCTAGGGATTAAGGACACTCCCTATCTGGACTAGGTTATTGATTCAAAGGAGGCAAAGAATACCAGAACCAGGAGATAATTAGAACACTAATTCTTAGTTTTTCTAACACCGGGCAGACCTTCACACTATGAGCTTCCATGCAATCACGGCAAGATTGAAGGCTGAAATGAACAGAAGTAAAAGAACCACAATGAAATGAAAAGATTATGAAAAAGATGCTCAACGTGGAGTACCTCAAAAAAACAATGAGATGTAATGAAGCACATCTCCATCTTCACAGCAGAGAATGGTGGGGACTAGGAGGGCTGAATGTTGTATACATTGTCAATTGTGGTTACTGTATTGCATGTTTTTATTTAACTTTTTTTTTTAATCATAAGGGAGGGTTTGATCAGGAAAGAGAAGATGGATTATTTCTTAATTTCTGTGAATAACTCCGATATAAGGACAAAATCAAGCAATATAGTAAATTTAAAAAAAACAACCCACAACCAATAACATAGCACCTAGAATTGAACAAAGAATTCCAGATATGATTTGATCAGTGACCAGGTACAGAAGTCCTGTCACCTTCTCAGTTCTGGATACTATGCCTCTTGAAGTGCTGCCCACAATCACATTGGGTTTTTGGCTGTCATATTATACTGCTGACTCATATTGAGTTTGCAGCCCACTAAGACCCCTAGATCTTTTTCTGACTGCTATTTTGCAATACTTTCCAATTTGGAAATTGATTTGTTTAACCTAGATGTATTCCCATCAATTTTCACTTGATTAGATTTTTGGACCATGACTCAGTCATCTCATTCCTTATCTATTGTGGTAGTCTGGAAAACCTTTGGAATAGCTATCTCTCCTGATTTTGTAAGCAAATATTATTAGTATGTCTTTATACAAATCATTTATAAAAATGTTAAACAGCCAGGGGCCGAGCCTGGATCCCTGGATCATTTCTCTGGAAACCTTCTTCTAAACTGAGTGGTTTTTTTTGTGTCATGCCTAGCTATACTTGTCTAGTCTCTATCTCTCTTCTTGTCCACAAGAATAGAATGAGAGACTTTGTCAAATGCTTTGCTAAAATTCAGGCAGACTTTGTCTTCAGCAATCTCTTGATCTAGCAGTTTGTAATACTGTCTATGGGGAAAATTGGCTTAGCCTGGCATGATGTCTTCTGGATGGAGTCTTTCTGGCTGGCCTTGGTGCCTGCAGCTAACCATCCCTTAAAAATGCATGCTGGAATTCTGCTAGGACTCTTCTGTTTTCTGAAATCTGGGATAGTATTTGCTCCTATTGAATCCTAGAACCAAGAACATTGAGAACCTAGAGATTATAAAAGGCACCAGGGCAGATCATCAATCTCATCAGCCTAGTACCCTAAGATATCATTTGGCTGGGTCAGCGGCAAATTTTCCAGCTACCTCCCAATTTATGGCCTGTTTTAACTTGCTATTACCTATCTGATCGAGTCCAACCCAATAAGATTTTATTAAATCAAACCTTCCCCAAGGGTGTGCCCACATTATCATTGCTCCCTCTAGTTAATAATTCTGAAACTATAAATGAAAACCATGTACGTTGGTTCTTTTATTGCTACTGAATTTTTCCATCTCTCATTTCATGAAATAATGCAAAATAGAGTTGTATATTGCTTGAGGAGAGGGCTTTCCTGATTATTAGGAGGAAAACATTTTATCCAAGGCACTGTGAAGGATGCAAAGACTAAAAGTAAAACAAAACAAAACACCAGTCCCTGCCCTCCAGGAATTTACATTCTAGGGTAAAGGAGATAGAACACAGATAAAAGCATACAGGATAATTTGAAGAGGGAGAAAACACTAACACTAGGAGGATCAGGGAGAACTTTTCTTTTTCTTTCTTTCTTTTTTTTTTTAGGCAATTGGGGTTAAGTGACTTGCTCAGGGTCACACAGCTAGTAAGGGTCAAGTGTTTGGTCTGAGGCCACATTTGAACTCAGATCCTCCTGACTTCAGGGCCTGTGCTCTGTCCACTGTGCCACCTAGCTGTCCCTAAGAGCTTTTCTTAGGAAGTGGCACAGGAGGGGCAGCTAGGTGGCACAATGGATAAAGCTCGGACCTTGGAGTCAGGAGGACCTGAGTTCAAATCTGGCCTCAGACACTTGATACTAGCTGTGTGACCCTGGGCAAGTCACTTAACAATGATTGCCTCACCCCCCCCCCAAGAAAAAAAGAAAATGGCACAGGAGCTGAACCTGTGGAAGGAACCTAGAGACTGTAAAAGGTAGAGGTGAGGCACTCCAAGCACAAAGGCAGCCTTTGCAAAGGTTTGGAGGTGGGAGATGGCATGCCAACTGCTGTAAATAGTAAGTAGGCCAGTTTGGTTGCACTAGAGAATATGCAAAGGGAACAAAACATAAAATGAGTCAGTTTTTATAAAGTGATTTGCAAAACTTAAAGCTAGCTATTAAATAAATGGTGGCTATTATTAATTAACTGGAAAAAAAACCCCAAACCCTGGAAAGTGAGACTATAATTAGGCTTTAAATGTTAAACTCTTGCATACAAGGTTTGTATTTTATCCTGGAGGCAATAGGGGGTCCCTGATGGTTATAGAAGAGGGGGATGACATTTTAATGTGTACTTCACGAAGAGTGTTCTCGCAGCTAGCTGCATTGAGGAGAGATTGGAATGGGAAGGGAACAGAAGCGGGGTTTGCAGAGTAGCCTTTGCAAGAGATGTTGAGGGCCTAAATTAGCTCTCAACATTATTATTGCTAATAATAATTTATTTAATTTAATAATAAAATTTTTATAATAATAAAATTTGATATAAAATTTTAATAATAAAATTATAACATTATTGGTTTTGTGAGTGTAGAATACATAATACTCTAAGCAATGGTTGAGTTCTTGCTATGCAAATAGCCCCTTAGCTCTTGAGGTGGGGGCAGGATTTGTTTTTGGAGACTGGAGGGATGACAGCAATGTTGGGGAGAACCAGGAGGCGGAATCAAGGTCTTTCCCCACAGTGGATGGATCAGTTTCTGACTTGGCGACGTGAGAATGGAAGCGTCAGACCTCCCCCCGCATTCCCTTCCAAAACAATCTCTCTCATCACATTGTGTTGCTCCTGAGATTCTCCAATGAGAGATTCATTTCTTTGAGGTTTTGAAGGCTTCTGATCTCTACGGGTTTTCTAGAAATGTCCATAGGCTCTAAGAGATGACTGGATCAGTTGTAAAGGGTCTGGAAGGATAGCTGAGCTTGGGCTCATGCACCCAGCAGAGTCTGGGGCTCGGGGATTGGAATCTTTTCTCAGTCTCGTTTGGTCCAAGGGCAGCTCTGGGGCCCAGACTAGGCAAGTATGGTGCAAAGGTGGGAAGAGGGCAGGTGGTGGGACCAACGACTCTACCAAGAAATTGTCAGAAGCTCATTGATTCAAGCCATTAGAGTTAGAATTTACTTTCCAGGTCATCGTGTCTAATCCCCTCATTTTACTATGAGGAAAGTGGAAGTAGAAGTACTCATCTGAGGTCACACATGGAGTAAGTGTCAGAATCAGGATTTGAACTCAGCACCTAAGACTCCAGAGCCAGCCCTCTGCCTACTGTGCCGTGTGGGTCTGGTGAAATGGAAGGCCATATCCAAGACCACACAGGAATGAAGTGGCTGAGGGGTGACCCAAGGTCCTTTCCACTCCGCCATGTTGTCTCAGGGGATCACATCTTTCCTCTAAAAGCAGGAGCCCCAATTCCTGGGGAATCCTCAGCCACCTGTGATTGATGTGGAGGCAAACCTTCCCTCCCTCGAGTCTTGAGCCAGAGAGCTGACTGAATTCTCAGATCACTCCCTGCTTTGCCAGGGCCTTCCTTGGAGGGCTGAAAGGAGAATCTTGCCTTCTTTGACCTAGCACCCAGATTGGCCGCATCTACAGCACATCCCAACTTCCTCACTAGGCAGTCCTAAGTTTCATCAGATCAGATAGAGGCCAATGGATCCTCCTCAAGACTCCTCAAGTCCAAGGCCCTGGCCACGTCAGATAGGTGGTATAGTATTTAGTGTGGTGGACTTGGAGTAGGAAGACCTGAGTTCAAATCCTGCCTCAGAAGTTCACCAGCTATGTGACCCTGGGCAAGTCACTTAACTGTGTCTCAGTTTCCTTATCTATAAAATGGGGATAACAGTAATACCTACCTCCTGAGGTTCTTGTGAAGATGAAATAAGATAATATTTTAAAGCACTTTACAAACCCTAAGCATTAATTATTATTATCACCAGATATTTGAATGGATTTTTAAGACTTTATCCAGATTTTTCCCCCTTTTCTTAGTATCCCCAGTGCTTAGCTCAGTGCTTGGCACACAGTAGGTTGTTAAGAAATACTTGTTGACTGACTGACTAATGGACAACTTGAAATTCAATAGACTAAAGATCTTTGATCAGGTCCCATCCCCACTGTGGTCCTTGTTTTCCTCATCTGTGAAATGAAGAGGTGGCCTAGATGTCTCTTAAGGCCCCTTTCTGCTCTCCAGACTTTGAGCCTCTGTTCTCATGTCTTGAAGGTGGCCCCTAGGCCCCACCCCTTTTCACCAGAGCCAGAGAGAAAAGCCCTAAGGACCAGGATGGGGCTGAGGCCTGGCCTCCCCCCTGCAGGAAGCTGGTGGTAGAAGCTGAACTGGGCATCTGCAGAGCCAAACGCCGAGCCATGGAGAAGCAACTGCTGGAGGTGGTGAAGGAGACACTGATGCTGATAGAGGAGATGAAGGCCCGGAAGGCAGGAGAGGGAGAGGTTGAGGGCTTGTGTGTATAAGGGGTGGGAAGATGCCAGGAGAAGGGCGCCAGCTTCACACCAGAGTGCCCACAAGCCAGGACTTTCTGCTGTCTCCCCCGGTAGACCCTCCACTCAACCTATGGTTTCCTTTTCTTCTCCATGAAGATGTGCAGTCAGTAGATTCTGAGCCAGATGCAGAGGAGTGGCCTCAGAGGAACCCGCCTTATCAGCACCTCACCCTCTGATGGGGGGGTGCAGGGAGGAGCTCTTAACCCTCCTCAGGAAAGGGGCCTGGGCCAGCCCTCTCTTCATGTCCCAGCCAGCTGCACTCCTTTGACTTGTCCATCATCCTTTCCCTGCTCCCTGCCTCCACCTCGCAATGCGTAGTACCCTTTCCTTTTGTGCGTTGTTCTCCCCTATTGGACTGTAAGCTCCTTGAGGTCAAAGACTGTCTTTCTTTTGTGTACTTTTATCCCCAGCACTTAGCACAGTGCCTGGCACATAGTAGGCATTTAATACACGTTTATTGACTGACCAGGTCCAAGACCCCAGCCTGGTCCAACCACTCAATTTTCCCAGTGGCAAGTGGAAGTGAGAGAACTCAGCTAATGCTGGCAGAGGGGCTGGAAGTAGTTTTATTCATTAAAATTTGAAACCCTGCCTTTAGCGTCTACTCTGAAGGCAATGAAAGTCAGAGTTCTGACTTACTCTTCACCTGCAGGGGAGCCCCTCCCCTGGTGCCTTAGCATAGCTGAGTTGGATTCTGGCCAATTTCCAGGGCTCTCAAAGTTGGAGAGAGGGGAGAGGCAACAACTTCTAGGACAGGAAATTTTGGATACTTGGGGTTGGTCAATATGGATCCAGTGGTCAGCCTTTGGGACAGATAGAATCTGAGCTTTAGGGAAAAAACACTTGATCTCAGGGTAGTCATGAGGCCTGTGAGGAGAAGCACAGGGAGGAGAAAAGGCAAATATTGAAGGCATGAGGACTGAGCCATGTGATATGGATGGTAGGAGTGTTGAAAACAAATTGGGAACTTAGAGGGTGGGGTACAGAGGGAGCATTCTGGATGAGCTAACAGACATGCTGCCCAACAAGATTGGAAGGGAACCTATTTTTACAAACCCAAGCATAACCTGAACCCCCATTGCTCAAAACCATGGCAGTGGAAAACCCAACTGGCATCTAAGCGAGAAGAATCTAGGAGGTTAGGT